CATGACCTGGAATTTAACCCTTTTGCCCGACTCATGGATGATGAGTGTCCTCTGTCCCCTTGAGGAAGGGAGCTGATCTTTCCTTCCCATCCTGCAAGGGAAGGACGCAGGTGTCTCTTCTGCCACACGAGGACACAGCATGTAGACCACCTAGGAACCAGAAACCCAGCCCAAAACAGACGGAAAAGTGCTTGACCTTGAACACCTTGACCCCAGACTACGAGAAACAAATCGTCACCCTGTAGAGGTTTCCCCATTGGGGATACGTTTATAGCACCAAGAATGGACAAAGACACCACTGAGCTGAACTTGGAGGCTATGCAGGGGAAAACATGCAGCAAACTATGGATTGAGGCCAGCCTGAACAAGAAGTTGATGAGACCGTATTTCACAATAATCCAGGCATGGGCCCACCCTGTAAACTCAAATATAATGGGCATCCTAGGAAGATGACAGCATGAGGCCAGCCTTGGACAAAGTCATTTCACACTAAGTGAGAAACAGCATAGAGTTAAAGGAGCTGAAGACATGACAGAGAGCGTGCTGAGCAAACACAAGGCTGTGATTTCAAACCCAAATACCAAAAATAAAAGTAGATGAAAAGTGAACATAAAACGACCACCCTAAAATGATCCCATTAGCATATCTGCAGTAGGAAACACACAGCCTTTCTTAACCCACAACCACTGCTGGTGGCAGGAGGGGTAGAGCGGAAGCCAAGGACTTGCTTCCAGAAGAATGCCCCATTTCCTGACTCTGCTGCTGGTGAAGCAGATTTCCCGGTGCTGTGGTGCTTATGAAATGTTATAAACAAGTCCTCTATGTGGTAAAGCTGAACAAGTTTGCAGCAAATAAAATAAGTGCATTTCCATAGGTTAAAAGTGACAAAACGGTCAGATGGGTTGGTTGCCCCTCCTCGGTAGGGGAGACTGGCAGGAATGACTGGAGCCAGTCCCAGAGACACAGTGTCAGCCCAGAGATAAACACGGTCATGCACAGCAATCCATTCAGCTGCACAGAAAGCACAGATAGGAGAACACCGCCCATACCACCAGGAAAAATGCATGACCATATCCCAAATCACTAAAGCAAATACAGCAAAGACGGCTGGACACACAGCTCAAGGGCAGTGCACCTCTAGCAATCAAGAGACTCTTTGATTACAAATTCATACCACCAACAATGTGACACATGCACACATCATGACACCTAATGTGAGCAATGACTGTCTGTGCTGTGTAAAATGCAGTAAGATGAGGTTTTCTAACGCATTCGCTCTGCTGTGCGATGAGGTCTGTGTTCTCTTCCATGTAATCATTGTCACTGCTGACTGCCTGATTCTCCTGTCTTCTCTGCACTGCCTTTGCTCAGATTCCACCCCAGAGCTGCCTATATACCAAGAGGACATGCAAATGGTGCCTCCCTCTGCTTATGAAAAGCTGCAGCTCTGCAGGTCAGGCCTGACTTCCAGGGGTTCCATCCTGAGATCAGCACTGAGCACACACCTCCACCATGGAGGAGGCTCTGACCTGGGTTTTCCTTGCGGCCATTTTAGAAGGTAATTTGCAGAGAAGAAGGGACACTGGTTATGTGAGTGGAGCTGAGTGGGAGAAACCGTGGATGTGTGTGACCATTGCTGACCTGTGTTTGCAGATGTGCAGTGTGAGGTGCAGCTGGTGGAGTCTGGGGGAGGCTTGGTGCAGCCTGGGGGGGTCCCTGAGACTCTCCTGTGCAGCCTCTGGATTAACCTTCAGTGGTTATTGGATGAACTGGCTGCGCCAGGCTCCAGGGAAGGGGCTGGAGTGGATTTCATCCATTTATGTAGTAGTAACATACAGTACACAGATTCTGTGAAGGGCTGCTTCACCATCTCCAAAGACAACAGCAAGAGCACACTTTACCTGCAGATGAACAGCCTGAGAGTGGAGGACACGGCCCTATATTACTGTGCTACAGACACACAGTGCAGGAAATCCAGACACAAACCTCCCTGCAGGGAACTCAGCACCAACAGGGGGCGCTCAGCACACACTGAGGTCATGCTCAGTCAGCACCAGCAGGGGGCGCTGGGCTCACACTGAGGTCATGCTCAGTCAGCACCAGCAGGGGGCGCTGGGCACACACTGAGGTCATGCTCAGTCAGCACCAGCAGGGGGCGCTGGGCACACACTGAGGTCATGGCAGTCACAGGAGCAGCTGTGGAGCTCAGGCCCTGACTCCTCTGTGTGCCTGGCCTCTCCACAGGACGCAGCGTGCCCCACAGAGCTGTCCACTGTGTTCTTGCTGTTCTCCAACCCCTCAGCACACAGCTTTTTCCATCTTCCATTGCCCTGTGTCTGTTGTGGTTGATGATGCATCCTTGAGAGGACCAGACACAGCACCATGCACGGTCGGTGGACACTGATGAGATCACTGCGGTCAAATCTGAGGAAGGTCAAGATCCCTGCTCAGTCCTTTCCTCTCAGACTTGGGAGAGATGCAATGGACTCCCTGGCTAGGTCAGTCTTTATCCTCAGGTCAGAGTGCACGGGATGTTGTGCAGAGCCAGGGCCTCCATGTCACTGATGGATTTCAAGGCCCACCATTCTGCTCACACAGCCCAGCGTCCAGCCCGGCTTTGATCCCGTTGTCCCCTTTCCTCTAGCTGGTGACATGTGAGGGGCCATCGGTCAGGACCGGGGACTGCTCTGTGACCCACAGAGCCCAGTCGTGGGCACCGCTGAGCTGTGGTTACCTGCAGAGGCCCAGTGACCCCCACCAGCTCCTCTGCCTCCATCCCTTTCTACACACGCTGTAGATGACGAGGTTGGATGGGATTCTCAGCCACAGTTCTGGATCTGGTCACTGCTTTATCCTATAAGGAGATATGTGTTCTTAATTATCTCTGTGTTGTCCACACCTGTCCTTCACACTAAATCCCCTGCAGACATGGCCTGTATTCAGTCTCTAGACCCCAGGCCCGGTACTGGGACCTGGTGGTCAATGAGGCTGTGGCCCTGGCTCCTGCATGCCTGGGAAGAACTCACTGGTGTCCCCAGGCTGCGTGCCCTGGACTGTCCTGTCCTCCTCCCTATGGACTTGGCGGGAAGCTCAGGGGAAATCTGTAGCTAAGGGCACATGGATGAATGTAAAAACAGTCGTCACTTGGGATTTCAGCTGCATCACCTCACTGTCCTGAGCCTGCGCACATGGGACTGAGGACCGGCTGGGGCCAGGTCCTCCTGGAGCACATGGCCTGTGGAGGTGCAGTGTGGGTGGGAGCTCCTGCGACTGGCCATCAGGAAGAGATCTAGAACCTCCCGCAGAGCCTGCTGCAGACGCTGCCTCTGTGGTGGAATGTCATCCTCTCTAGTCTGTTCCCACTCAGATCCACCCAGGTTGCCAGAGAGGAATTAGTGAGGAATGTCATTCCATCCACACAACACCTCCACTGCAACCTTCAACAGGCTTGGTTTTAATGTGCGGCATTGATCTGCCGAGGGTATTTCCAGTCCTGGGTCACTCAAAAGCCAGGCTGCCGCACCTCAGTATCAAGGCTGTTTTTCTGTAAAGGCCTGGAGAAAAGGCTCTTCAGAGACAAGTGAGAAAGGGGGATAATGTGGCGGTGGGGACCTGGGTCTAGCGTGGTGACCTTCCTGGCTGACAGGTTTCTCACAATGTGCGTGGATGAGAGCAGTGCTCCATGTGCAGTAAGAGCAGAGAGCTCAGGTCATCCCTGCTTCCCAGAACAACGATGCTCATGGTCCTCTCCTGCTGTTGTTATACGTCTCACTGGGAGACACATACAATAGACTCTATGGATTTTTTTTTTTTGGTTGGTCGTGGGGCTTGAACTCTGGGCCTGGGCGCTGTCCTTCAGCTCTTCAGCTCAAGGTGAGTGCTCTACCACTTGAGCTACAGCGCCATTTCTGGTTTTCTGGTGGTTTTTTGGAGATAGGAGTCTCACGGTCTCTCTTGCCCAGGCTGGCTTTGAACCGCAATCCTCAGATCTCAGCCTCCTGAGTAGCTAGGATTACAGGCATGAGCCACCAGCTCGAAGCTAGACTCTATGGAGAGATCAAGGAGTATAGCTCTTCACAAAGACTAAGTCAAAAACCAACAAAGTAAGCACCAGAAAGAGGGTACTGGGAGTGGAGAGATGAGGGGCAAATGGTAGAAGAATGATGTAGACAACATGGAGAACGCAGGCAAGAATACAGTGCCTATGCCACAGAATTGAGAACACTGAGCTAAGGGTGGGTCAAAGGGGAAAGGTGAGGAAGGAATGACTCAGATCCACATGCCTTGAATCCATGAACTGCTGTGTTCAATGATGTCAGCATACATGTCCTGAACATTAAGCAGAGAGAGGGAAGAGGAGGTGGAGGGGTGGGCAGGAATGTTGAAAGGGGCAACGTTGATCAAGCCTCAGTGTATTCATAAACTGCCTCACTGAACGGCACCTTTATTTTCTATTTAATTAAAAAATGTTGTGTTGTTGATGTACAGAGGGGTTACAGTTACGTGAATCAGGTACCATCAGTGCAGTTCTTTATGAACCATTCTTCCCTTCTGTTGCTCTCTCCCAATCCTTCCCTCCTGTCCCCACCCATTAGATTTCCAGTTCATTTTCCACAGTGTCTGGTGAGTATCACTGTGATATTTGTTCATTCCTGTTCCAGATTTTATGTGACTCCATTACCCTCCCAAATACAAACAATAAACAATACAAAAGGAAGAGGGAAAATGTTTTTAAAAAGCAAATGGCTCAGCAATCTTGACTAAGGGAAGCAGAGTTAAACTTCTATAAAGAAGTTCATATTCCATCAGTGCGTTTCTTGAAGCCAATTGATTAGAGACATTTCACAGTTTATTCACTCAACTAACAAACTCTGTCTTCCACCATCATCTCCTCTGTGCGCTGCCCTCCTGAGACTTCTGCCCCAGAGTTGCTTTATAGCAGAGGACATGCAAATAGGACGAACCTCTGCCCATGAAAACCAGCCCATCCCTGACCTGAGCTCTGTGAGCTGATTCCACCAGTGACTGAACACAGACCAGCACCATGGAGCTGGGGCTGCGCTGGGTTCTCCTTGTTGCTCTGTTGAAAGGTGATTCATGGGGAGCAAGGGATACTGAGTGTGCAAATGGACATGAGTGGGAGGAACAGTGGATGTGTGTGACCATGGCTGACCAGGATTCTCTGTGTTTGCAGGTGTGCAGTGTGAGGTGCAGCTGGTGGAGTCTGGGGGAGGCTTGGTGCAGCCTGGGGGGTCCCTGAGACTCTCCTGTGCAGCCTCGGGATTCACCTTCAGTAGTTACTACATGGACTGGGTCCGCCAGGCTCCAGGGAAAGGGCTGGAGTGGGTTGCACGAATTAATACAGATGGTGGTAGCACATGGTACCCAGACTCTGTGAAGGGCCGGTTCACCATCTCCAGAGACAACAGCAAGAACACACTTCACCTGCAGATGAACAGCCTGAGAGTGGAGGACACGGCCGTCTATTACTGTGCTAGAGACACAGTGCAGGAAATCCAGTGTGGGCCAGACACAAACCTCCCTGCAGGGCGCTCAGCACCAGCAGGGGGCGCTCGGCACAGCTTGGAGCCAGGTCAGCTCAGGAGCAGCTGCACACAGAGCCCAGGGCTGCTCTCCTGCTGTCTGCCCTGCCTCTGTGTCCACAGTGTGACAGCATCTCTCCTGAGTTCATGACCCGCACTCCTCTGGGATGGCTCCAGTCCTTTGCTGGGACTTTAAGAATGAACAGAGTATCATGCTGGAAGCAAAAATGGCTCTGCACTGGTGACCAGTATTTGATCCTGAAGAAACTCAGGGACTCTGGTGACCCCATGAGACTCAGGACAAAGATCCCAGGATTCACAGAGTCAGAATTTGTTCTGTGAACTAGAGGGAAAAAGCCTGGCATGGTGACTGGTGTCTGTAATCCTAGAGACTTGGGAGGAGGAGAGAAAAATGAGTTTGTGGAGGCCAAATGGGCTAAACTTTAATAACAATACATCTCAATCGATAAGCTGTATGTGGCAGCTGTTTCCTGTGATTCCTGCAACACAGGAGGCAAGTGTGGAATCACTGTCTGCAACCTGCCCCAGGCAAAAACACAGCACAGTACCAGAAAATAAATAACATTAAATAGCTGTAGAAAGGGTTGAAATGCAGGTGTGTTCCTAAAATAGGAGCCCTGAGTTCAAAACAGTACAGAGAGAGAGAGACAGAGACAGACAGAGAAAGACAGACAGACAAACAAAGTACCCACAGTCCATTGACCCATGACTCTTAACAGGCCTCAAATGCTGCCCTCCTCCCTCCACCTGTAGCACTGTTCAGGGGTTCAGAAGTGACCTAACAGAATTGCTCCATTCATTCACTTTCTGACTCAGTGATTCACAGACTCCTTTTCTCTTTGTCCAACCACCAAACGTACTTGGGGATCCAAGTCATAAAACACAGGGGTCAGCCATACCCCTGGATCTCTGCCCACGGCACCCTGGGAACGTGGTGGACTCCTCAGTCTCCCCTGACAAGGGCCTCTTGCTGTCCTCCAGGGGACGTGGAAGTGGACACGAGGAGTCTGGGTTAGACTGGACAGACAACAGGCCATGTGCATGTAGACTGACCTTGCTGGGCCCCGTCTGTCCTGGGGTTTCCTCCATCACGATGGCTCTGGAGTCCTGCGGATGTCCCGTCTGGGATGGAGGCCGGGTCCCTGTGGCTCCGTCATGAGCACTGTCACTGTGCACGTGCATCGTGGGCACGAGGGGCTGGGCCCAGGTGATCTCACAGCAATCTGACTGAGCTCCCTGCATCCCAGACGCCCCCACCTGCTCAAACAGGTCCTTGTTATTTCTCCATTACATCCTGATCAGAGAAGAGCAAGCTTCACTTCCTGAACAAGAACGTGTGTGTGAACTTGTCTGCAGGCTTTAGGAAGAAGACTTGCAAGTTCTGAGGTTTTCCCCAGGACCGTTTTTGTGGATGATGAGACAAATCATTCATCTCACCAGGAGACATCCATTACTCTGTCCATGTGGAGACTGTGGTGTCTTGGTTCCTCATTTGGATGTGAAAACTCCTCAGGAGGAGCTGGTATCTCGTAGCACAGCACTAATCATTGTAAAAAGATGAAGAAAGGAAAGATTTCACCAAAACAAAATCATCAATACTTTAGAGCATGTGTCTACTTAGACTATTAGTCATTTAACAATGTATATCTGTATTGAATAATAACCAGTACCTGTTAACGTATATCCTTTATAATAATAACTAAATTAATTAATTGGTAAACAAATGCATTGGTCCTGCCTCTGCTCTTCCTGCCCCAGCTCTCCTCTGTGTCTGCCCTACTTCTGCTCATCCCCTGACAGTCTCCCAGGCACTTCTCCATGTCTGTGTCTGTGGTCATCCTTGACTGTCTGGATCAGATGTTCTGCTTTCCACTGTGAGGTTTACTTAAACATAGGGAGACTTCACTTCAACAAAGCACAGAGAATAACACATTGGGGAAACTGACATTGCCATGATCTCCAAGATCAGATCTGAGGACGGCTAGAGATGAAAAACACAAATCCACCCAAGCCTAACGGAAAATGCTGCCTACAAATCTCCCAGAAACATTGAGACATAATGAAACATATATACAGACATACAGAATTCAAGAATATTAGGAAACACATTTACTATCATATCAAATGTAAACTGTATATATCAATGTATTACTAGATTTTAGGCATCTAGCAGCAGCTAGGCTAGCTGCCATCGTCTACATGAACATGCCAAGGTTTGTGATGCTATGATATTACAACAATGCCACTAAATAATAGGAATGTTTTATCTGCACCATAATTCTGTGGGACAATTTTATATATCCTGATCATCACTGCCCAAAACATTGTTGTGAGCTGAGCTGCTCATAGCTACGTGTTCTGAACGGGAAGTTGGCAAGATGCATGGCAAAGGCCATTCTGATGTTTCTCAGATAGAAATTATGGACAGGGCAGTGGAGCATGGAGCACAGGACATCCTAGGGAGAACGTGGCAGAGGAGGGCTGAGATTAATGTAAAGGTCCAACAAGAGAAGAACAGATAAAGGAAATGGGAAAGGTGTGGACAATGGAATAGAACTAACCCACAGACTGGAAGAGAGACTGTCATTAGTGATAGATCTAAAGAGAGTTAGATTAAAGGAAATAAACCAACCATAGAAACACCAGTATCACGTTATGTCTTGTTTGCAATAACTAGTATATGTCTGAGACAAACAGAAACTGTCAGACAAGTTGATGTTAGGCAAAGTGAACCCCAAGATAAAGATTCAAAAGATTTATCTTTCTTGCGATTGTTTCTAATATGTTTATAAGATGATTTTTTTGTTGCTTTGTATGTCCCTCCCCCACGGTATAATTCCTGCTTCCACTGTAATTGATGTTGGTATAATTTGTGGAGGGGAAGGGAAAAAAAATTGTTTAAATAGGGATCCAGGTGGACACGTTGCAACAATGAGATGTACAATTTGTTATGTTGAAAAACAAACTTATCAACTTTTGCCTGGGTGTGGGGGAGTAGGGGGTGGGGGGGAGAGGAGCAAGGGGGAGGGGGATGTGGTAGGGAGAGAATGGAAGGGATGGGAAGTGGAAACAAAGGAGGTGTCAACAATGCTTGATAAGAAATGTACTCATGATCCTGATCATGTAATTGTAAACACTCTGTACAGTATTTCAACAATAAAAAAATTGATAGCAAATAAGGAATCCCATGGTTTTTAAAACAATTTGAAGAACACACAAATACTTTATCGATAGTTACCAAATCAATGTTTACCTATGAGCACTGTATGTTACATGTAGTGACACATTGAGGTTATCACAATATACAATACATGGGATACGGTCAGAAATGCAGAGTGCATATGAACCACAAAAACAAACAAGAAAGCCAGACTGTGAAACTAATACAGCAGAGCCAACTGTCAAGCATCTGCCTGAACCCTGGCCATCTTGGTTTGTGGTCAGAATGAAGTAAAGTGTGGCAAAGCCACACCTAATCTCGGCTCAGGAAGGAGGCTCTGCAGAGCTCACACATGAGCACCATTCTCCTGGAACACACCAGGAACTGTGGGCCCTCCTTGGCTGTGCAGGACCAGAACAGGCATGGAGTACACACCACGGGAGACGCTGCCAGTGTGGAAACAATTCACCATTGTTTTACACTCTTGCGAGTGCACTAGGAGGTCACACGTGTGTTGCACTTTGTGTTTTGAGTGTGATCAGAAATGCTGACAGAACGATCACCAGGCACAATGGCAGAGTGAGAGGACATGTGTGTCCCTCTGCACCGCAGACAGCTCTCAGTGTTCTCACACTCTGCCTCAGGCTCCCAAGGACCTGCAGGTACAGTGTGAACCACAGCACATGGTCAGTGCACCATGATGTCTCCAAGATGACCATTGTCACCAAACTCCTCCAACACAGTCACCTCTGCTCTGGGAGCGCAATCTCTAGACTTCCCCCCAGAGCTGCTTTATATCAGAGGACATGCAAATAGGACGTCCCTCTGCCCATGAAAACCAACCCATCCTGACCTGAGCTCTGTGAGCTGATTCCACCAGTGACTGAGCACAGACCAGCACCATGGAGCTGGGGCTGCGCTGGGTTCTCCTTGTTGCTCTGTTGAAAGGTGATTCATGGGGAGCAAGGGATGCTGAGTGTGCAAATGGACATGAGTGGGAGGAACTGTGGATGTGTGGCCATTGCTGACCAGGATTCTCTGTGTTTGCAGGTGTGCAGTGTGAGGTGCGGCTGGTGGAGTCTGGGGGAGGCTTGGTGCAGCCTGGGGGGTCCCTGAGACTCTCCTGTGCAGCCTCCGGATTCACCTTCAGTAGTTACTACATGGACTGGGTCCGCCAGGCTCCAGGGAAGAGGCCTGAGTGGCTCTCATACATCAATAGTGATAGTAGAAACATAAAGTATGCAGAATCCGTGAAGGGTCGCTTCACCACCTCCAGAGACAACAGCAAGAACACACTTTACCTGCAGATGAACAGCCTGAGAGTGGAGGACACGGCCCTCTATTACTGTGCTACAGACACAGTGCAGGAAATCCAGTGTGGGCCAGACACAAACCTCCCTGCAGGGCGCTCAGCACCAGCAGGGGGCGCTGGGCACAGCTTGGAGACGGGTCAGCTCAGGAGCAGCTGCACACAGAGCCCAGGGCTGCTCTCCTGCTGTCTGCCCTGCCTCTGTGTCCACAGTGTGACAGCATCTCTCCTGAGTTCATGACCCGCACTCCTCTGTGATGTCTCCAGTTCTTTACTGGGACTTTAAGAATGAACAGAGTATCATGGTGGAAGCAAAAATGGCGCTGCAGTGGTGACCAGTATTTGATCCTGAAGAAGCTCAGGGACCCTGATGACCCCATGAGACTCAGGACAAAGATCCCAGGATTCACAGAGTCGTAATTTGTTCTGTGAACAAGAAGAAAAAGCCTGGCATGGTGACTGCTGTCTGTAATCCCAGAGACTTGGGAGGAGGAGATTAAAATGAGTATTTATGAAGGCCAAATGGGCAAAACCTTAATGACAACACATCTCAATCGATAAGCTGGTTGTGGCAGCTGTTTCCTGTGATTCCAGCTACACAGGAGGCAAGTGTGGAATCACTGTCTGCAACCTGCCCCAGGCAAAACCATAGCACAGTACCAGAAAATAAATCACATCAGAAAAGATGCAGAAATGGCTGAAATGCATGTGTGTACCTAAAATACTAGCCCTGAGTTCTGGGGAGAGAGAGAGAGAAGGAGAGAAAGAGAGCGAGAGAGAGAGAGAGAGGGAGGGAGGGAGAGAGAGAGAGAGAGGGCGCCCACACAGCTCACTCTTAACAGGCCTCAAATGCTGCCCTCCCCACTCCACCTGTGCACTGCTCAGGGGTTCAGAACTGAGCTAACAGAATTGCTCCATTCATTCACTTTCTGACTCAGTGATTCACACCCTCTTTTCCTCTTTGTCCAGCCATCAAATGTACTTGGGGACACAGTCTATAAAACATAGGGGTTGGCGATACCATGGAGCTCAGCCTATTGCGCCCTGGGAAAGTTGGTGGACTCCTCAGTCTCCCCTGACCAGGGCCTCTTGCTGACCTCCAAGGGACGTGGAAGTGGACATGAGGAGTCTGGGTTGGACTGGACAGACAACAGGCCATGTGCATGTAGACTGACCTTGCTGGGCCCCGTCTGTCCTGGGGTTTCCTCCATCACGATGGCTCTGGAGTCCTGTGGATGTCCCGTCTGGGATGGAGGCCGGGTCCCTGTGGCTCCGTCATGAGCAGTGTCACTGTGCACGTGCATCGTGGGCGTGAGGGGCTGGGCCAGGTGATCTCACAGCAATCTGACTGAGCTCCCTGCATCCCGGACGCCCCCAACCTGCTCAAACAGGTCCTTGTTTATTTCTCCAGTACATCCTGATCAGAGAAGAGCAAGCTTCACTTCCTGATCAAGAACGTGTGCACTCTACAGGCTTTAGGAAGAAGACTTGCGAGTTCTGAGGTTTTCTCTGGACAGTTTTTGTGGATGATGAGACAAATCATTCATCTCACCAGGAGACATCCATTACTCTGTCCATGTGGAGACAGACGTGACCTCATTTGGAAGAGAAAACTCCTGGTGAGGAGGCCCTGGTTCCCATAGGACAGGGAGGGGACTGTAGAAGACACTTCTGTATTCATCATTGTAGAGTGAAGACAGGATGGGAAGATTTGTACCTAACAGAAATCATCAATAGTTTAGACAAAATCTACTTAACCTATTGAACATCTACCAATGTATGTGTGTATTGAATACTATAAAGTCCCTTGTTTGGGGCATGTTTTCATTAGAATGAATACATAACTAAATTAATTAATTCCAAAGTGAATAAATGAGGAAACATACAATTAACCCTGTGTGAGCTCTACTGATGTCTAGGGGCCTGCAGGTCAGCGGTGTGTAGTCCTCAGGGTCCAGGCACTGGTGCCACACTGTGTTTCATGGGTAACGGGGACAGGGAAGGATCATCTCAGGGCACGGGTGAATACTTCTGATATTGGTGCTCATTTTGGTTCCCTGAAAACATTTTTCAAGGTTTCTTCAGAATGGAAAATATTGTTCCACCTCTATTGGTACAAAATTCATAATTAAGTGTATTTGGATTTAGATTTGCAGCATTTCAAAAATTATTATTGTTATTATAAATGTGATGTTCACAGGGATTACAGTTGCATAAGTTAGAGAAAGAATACATTTTTCTTTGGACAATATCAACCGTTCCCTAGCTCTCTCCCCATTTCTCCCTCCATCAGTTGTATAAGTCATCATCTACACAGTGTCTAGTGAGTACCACTGCTGCCTCTGCTCAGCCTTTTTCCTTCCACTTCTGTGCAGCCCCATGATCTCGAGGGTGCAGTTACTGTGAAACCATTGTGAAATGACGCTAATGCACAGAACATCACCTCACATGGACTCCTCCATGTTCTGCAGAGATGATGTCTTCTAGGTTCTGAGACTTGGATCGTCCCTATTGTTGAAGAAATGACCTGGTTTCAGGCTTCTGGATTTCTGAGACTTGTCCTGAGGCTGCTGTAGGATCACTCACGGAGGACGGGCCCTGTGCTGACGAGAAGATGTGTTCTGGAGCCATTACATTAAGTGTTCTGCAAACATTGCTAGATCCTGAACTTGTCATCACCTAGCTGGGCACCTGTCAATAGTGCGTGTAATTCTAACAACTCAGGAGGATGGCATCTGAGGATTCTGTTCTAAGTTAGGCTGGACAGGAAAGTCCATAGGACTCTGATCTCCAATTAACCACCAAAGGTGAGGAATGGAGCTGGGGCTCAGTAGTAGAGCCTGAGCCTGGAGCAGAAATGCTCAGAGACTGCACCCAGGCTGTCCTGGAGTTCAAGGCCCAAGACCACCACCAGAAATAAAAAAGCAATCATCTGTCACCTTCACTTTAGCTCCAGTATTTCATCTGCATGTATAAGGAGCAACAGCGTGTTGACTGGTGCTTCTCCAGAGAGACCGTGAAGGTCAAGACGCCGCCTCCAGTAACGTGTCCTGTGACTTCATTACTGGACAGAGTATGTGGTGTCACCTTGGTGACCCCTCTCAGCACTATTGGATGACAGTTGTATTCATATATTTAGAAGAGACAGCAAGGCAAACCACTCAAAAAGAGCCAAGAACTCAAGACGAGGAAAGCGCAGTGGAGGAAGAACGGACACCATAATTGGAAGGCTCCTCAGAGGGCAGTGCGGGCAGCGGCAGCGCTCACAGAGCCCTGTGCTTCTCAGAGCTTCTCCTCCAGGGGCCGGGGTGAGGACAGGCTGCGTCCAGTGCCTGATGCTGTCATTCTACTGTGTTTCTGAGGCGCGAGTGACAGACTCACCGGGTCACCACAGGGGCCAGCCTGCTGCCGACCCTCCAGGGATGTGGATTCCACGCATGAACTCCGGTGGAGGGCGTTTGCTCTGTGGTCTGACCTGTGTCTTCCGGCTTGCGTCCTCTGCCTCCCGCTGCTTCCAGAATCATGAGCTGAGCAGTCAAATGTGGAATTCTCTGGAAAGAGTTGCTCAGCTCTGCTCCAGAGACCAAGAATTCCGGGAGACATGGAGGCGGAGTAAGGACTGTGAGGGAGCACCGTGGGCTCCTGCTGTCCCGTCTCATTCAGACGTTTCCACAGACAGAGATCAGCAGGAAGAGAAACACTGCACTTTTCACAGCAGATGGGGAGTGGTTTCATACACTGGTGCTTTGTGCCTCTTTGTTCCAGGAAGCAAGATCATCTCTCCTTACGAGGCCGATAAGGACACTCCTGCCCTGCAGAATGCCATCTGTGTCTCCACACAGTGGGAACTGGCGTCTGCTCCCTAATATCAAGAGCACATGGGTCAGCAATAAGGAGTGAATAAATGGTTAGTAAGTCTCTGTACATCCATGGCACAGGTAGAAGACGTTCCCTCTCCATCATCACAGTCTGATCCTTGAGAGACCCGGTTCTCGGGATCAGTGATGTCACTACTTGTTCACTGTCTGAGACCGATGCTGCACAGCAGTGTGTGCATTTCAACACCAACCCAGTGTCACAGTGACACTGATGAGGAAATGGGGGGGTTAGAATAAGCAAGTGGAGCCAGGCCCCAGTGCTCTCCTTACCATCCTAGCAGTTGAGGAGAGGATCACACACAGATCTGGGGATCACACTGTAGTCAGTGCAGGAAGGAAAGGCTGTGAGACTCTTACCTCCATTAACGGCCAAAAAGCCAGAAGTGGTGCTATGGCGGAAATAGGAGTGAGCCAATCTTCATCAGAATGCAGACACGCTGACTTGAACAGTATACATGTACACCAGGGACTCCAGGTCTCTCTGGAACCTTCTTTTCTATTTCCTGGGAGTAAACTACCCGAGTAACCACCGTGTGTCTTCATGCAATCCTGCAGGCTCTTCTCATGAGCGGTCACGTCTACCAATCTCCCTCCCAGTTCAGTACACCTCTGAAGACCAGGACAAGCCCTGCAGTCCCAGAACACTTGGTCCACAAGGATTCTCCTGCTTCTGCATGCTTGTTCTTTCTCTTTCCCTCCACTGACACTCATTGGATCTACTTCCTGATCAAGGTTCTGAGGTTCTGTGTATGTGCATATATGTGTGTTTGTGTATATATGTGTGCTTGTGTATTGTGGGCATGCATATACCTGTGATGTGTGTGCATTTCTATTAGTGTGCAAGTGTCTTTCTGGTGTGTGCCGAGGTATGTGTAGGTGTGTACTTGTGTGTGTGATAAGGACAGACACTGTGCTTGTGTGAACATATGACATATCTAGCTGCCCAATCAGGTCCTTCAGCATGCTTGCCTCTTGGTAAGTGGAAGGAGGTGAGGTTGTGGTCATGGGGCTGAGTCTCTAGAGACCAGCGGTCAGCCTCCTTGGTGGAGGAACTACAGGTGACAGGGGAATGAGGACTGTGGTCTCTAGAGACCCGCGGTCACCTCCCCCGGGGGACAGGAGACAGGGGACAGGGACGCTGCACCTCCTATGCAGCCACAAGCAGGTTGCCCCCACATGCAAATTCCTGCATACACACTGGGAGAAGTCGCACCCTCGCTTAAATTCAGCCTCTTCCTCACTCTGGAAATGTGTCTGCGCGTGACAGACCTTGTGAACATGGAGCAAGTGTGGTCTTTGGGCTCCTGCTGGCAGCTCACAGCGGTGGTGACTTGGGACTGGGCAGGAGCGTGGGATGCGGCGTCTGGGCCGAGACGCAGCTGCTCCTCTGTCCACAGCTGTGCTGTCCCAGGTGCAGCTGCAGGAGTCAGGCCCTGGCCTGCGGAGGCCCGTGCAGATGCCGTCCCTCTCCTGCGGTCTCTGGTGACTCCGTCAGCATGGTGACTGTGGAGCTGGACCCGACAGGCCTCAGGGAAACGCGGGAGGGGACTGGACACATCTATAAATGTGAGAGCACCGCATACAGCCCGAGCCTCCAGAGCAGAGTCACCATGACAGTGCACACCTCCAAGGACCAGTGCTCCCTGCAGCTGAGCTCCGTGACCACGGAGGACACGGCCTTGCACGACTGTGTAGGACACACTGAGGAGACCAGGTGTGAGCCCTGCCACAAGCCTGAAACAGGGATGCACAGGACCTGCAGGGATGTCGAGCATGCCCGAGCCCAGAGTCCATCCAGAGCACAGCGTGCAGCCCAGGGCTGGTGTCACCGTCTGGCTGCGTCTGTCCAGCCAATTGCCAGGGATCCCGTCTGGATCTGAATCTGGAGGCTGCCACTCTGTGGTGTCTCTGAGTTCACAATGTGATCATGTTGTTATGATCTTCAAACGATAAAGCATGCTCCAACATCAATGAGACCAGGGCATCGTCCTGGAAACGGCAACGACCCAGCCGTGGTCCCCAGGACCTGAGGAAGGCCAGGGGACCTGACGATCACTTTCCCATCAGACCTGGGGAGACACTCTGGGATTCCCTGCTGAGGAGGCCCTGAAATTCCCGTTGAAAACGTGAGGGACATGGCTACGCACAGGGTCCTCCCTGCAATCCAGGCTGTGTGGGAAGTGGGGACTGGAGGATCGTGGTTCAAATCCAGCCAGGGAAAACACTAGCCAGCTGAATCTCAGTCAAGGAGCTGGGGGTGACGGCCCAGGCCCACAGGGCCCCCAGCTACACCAGAGCTATGGACACAGCGTTTGAGCTCCAAGCCCAGCCTCAGTCACAGCAAGACTCTGTCCGAATAACAGCTGACAGCAAAATGAGAGGCATGGCCAGTCACGGCACGACGGCCCAATGAGCACAGGCCTGAGTTCTAACCCAGTACTTCCAAATCCTGTGAGGAGAAGCCAGACCGCCACCCCTGGAGCTGGCAAACCTTCCCTTTCTCCCATTCCCGCCTGTGCACATCCAGCTCACGACTGGACAATGGGGTAGTGTCAGTGGACTCATTTTCCTGCTCAGAGATTCTCTTCCGTGTGTGTTCTTTTCTCTGGTCAGCAGAAATGGCCGTTGTAAGTGTGTGGACTGAACCCCAGGTCAGGTGGGGACCTGGGGTCAGGTGTTGCTCAGGCCGGGGCTTCTGCAGACCTGGGGAACGTGCTGGTGCCACGTCTCAGCCTGCGTGCATCAGCCCTCTCCTGCTGCCTCTCAGCAGGCCTCCTGTGGGAATGGAGGTGGACATCGGGTCTGGAGGGAGGCTGACCAGGAGTCTGGGATGTGGATGCAGAGCTCACCCTTGTCCACTCTGTTCACATGGTTTCACCTCCACCGTCTGCGGCTCTGGAGAAACGGAGACATGGGCAGCCTGGTTGTGCTGTGAGGCTCTGGACCAAGGGCAGGTGTCTGTGAGTCCTGGAATTGTGTGCTGTCCAGGACCAAGGGGACATGTCTGTGAGTCCTGGAATTGTGTGCTGTCCAGGACCGAGGGCAGGTGTCCATGAGTCCTGGTTTTGGCACTGTCCGGGCACTGCTGCTCACCCTGAATCTTGTGCTGAGAAGAGCTGCCTCCCAAGGCCTCTGCCCCGCATCCTGGCCCCTGTGGTGCTGCTCCTCACCCTCCTCTCACACTCCCCTCCCTGAGACAAAGACAAATCTCGCCCTGTTCCCTCACCACACCATTACCCGAAGGAACAAGGCTCATTTCTTGAGGAAGGATTTTTGTCTGAACTCCATAGCTTAGGAAAGGCATCTTTCACCTGTGAAGGGTTGACCCTGTGGAATCATTTGGACAGTACACAAACCCTTCTCCTCACCAGGAGACAGCACCCTCCAGGTACCTGCTGTGTGTGTATGGAGCAGGAGGGGCGCAGTGCTCTGCTGGCCTGGGGTCCTGGTACCCGTGTGTGCTGCAGCCATGGTGACCATGGACACCGCAGTAAAGACACCAAGCTGTGGAACTCAGATTTTAGCCTCCAGGATGGCAAAGCCTTCCTCCAGCTCAACGCTGAGTTGTTACATACCACACCACATTTCCATACAACAGTTTACCCAGCACAGGATTCCCCACACAGACACCAGCAGTGTGAATACCACCACCATGGGTACAGATACTTCCTGTCGATTTCCTCTCCATTCTCCTATAAGCTCCTCCAGCTACTTGAGAAAGCTTCCTTATTTGCCCCAGGGTGGATCGGTGTCAACCTGGTTCTCCCTGTTCTCCCTCAGCCCATAGATTTCCTCATCCTCCTGAAGATCCCTCCACAGCCTCCTGGACGTTGGGTGATTGTCTGTTCATTTCTGAATTTTAATTTCCGGGCTGGTAGGCAGAAGTCCACTGAGCCTTTGGACGCACCAGCAAACCCACCGCCCCGTACTTTCACAGTTCCAGGCTTCCAGGCATTATCAGTGTCATCCTTCCACCATATCGGCTGACATGAAGATTGCATTGTGTGGGTCTTTCCCATGTGTATCTGCAACTGAAGGATTGCACACAGGAATGGAATTTCGATATTAAGGGCATATAATGCCATTGCTATGTCGTGAGAGCCCCCAAAACACAAGCTCTGAGACCCAAAAGGATAGGGAGGATGCATTGCCACCTCCCACATGAACCCTCAGAGCACTGAGACTTTCCTGAAAAGGTCACTCAGTCTTGACTTGATGGGAATGCAGATTTCTATGCTGGTGTAGGCCAATTTCACACCAGGCTTTCTGGAAGCTTGGGCTAGAGAAGACTCAATTACTGCTTACATTGTCCTCTTAAGATAAAGAGGTCATTATCACTGGAGTGTGATTAGACCATTTAATTGGTGCTTGTGACTTTAAGGACATTGAGACCTCACACTCTGAGGTACGCCCTGCACCCTACTCAATAAATACCTTGTAAAATGGCCCCAGGGCACCTGAAGCTGGTGGAAGGCTTCAGGCCCCAGGCACCCCAAACCTGATTCCAGACCTGTGTCCATTACTGTCCAGTCCCTAGGCTCCACATATTGCAACATGTGTGGACATAAATGACCACTCTGGACTGAACATTCCAGAACCCAGACAAAACACCATTGAGAATTGATAAATGGGAGAGGGGGGACCAAGATGGCGACGGGGCAGTAGGGAAACGCCACAGCTCTCCCCAACCAAAAAGAGAGTTCCACTTCCAAGGCTTAATCTCCCCAAGAGACTGACAACAACAAAAAGATGAACACTCAGAGAAAAACAGGAGGAGGAAAATAACAAAAAAGAGAGAGAGGAAAAGAAGAATTTCAGAACAGAGAAGAGCGAAGACCCCTCCCCCAACCTTCACAAGCAGTTTTGCGGCTCACGTATAGTAAATATAGAAACTTAAAATTTCCAGATATGTTACAACAGGCAGAATTAATGAATTAAACTAACCAGAAGGAGTTATCCCAGAAGCACAGCAAGTTCTAGGAAAAGGGATCCCTGATAATAAAAGGAAAAGAAAGATTCTCCCAACAGTTATGACTAAGTTTGGTCTAGCTTATGTTCTAGGGAATAGATGGTGGTTTCTCACAAAATATAAAGTTAGTGACATCACATTTCCTGAACCGACCGATGAACCATTGCCTTATACAGGAACTTATAAAGATGAAAATGGATTAATGTAAAAGGAAAGAGTATTTGGTACTCATTAGATTTTATGCTAAGATTAGGCAGCTCTAGACTTTTATGGTGTTTATTATTAAAACAACAACAAGATAGTTTAAAATAACAATTAGAAATTTATGTGAACAAATATTGGGATTAAAATTATAGAAAATGGAGAATGCCTGACTCAACCTGGAAGTGGATTTTAGGATGGTTTCAAAGGGACTTGAAAACATATGGAAAAAAATAAAAAGAGTACAGTATAAGTACAGCCCTGTCTTAGGTTTGTTAATTATTAAACATAAAAAGGCTGAATAGATGACGCATTCTATTAAACTATATGCTAGACTTGTCTCGCACCACTTAGCTCAAACAGTTGGTGGGATAGTCATAAGTTTCCATATAACCCATCAATGCTTTGCTTTTCTTAAAAATTGATTACATGCTTAAATAAACAAAGAATCTATGTCACAATCACACACTGTATAAAAATGTTAATTCTCTTGGGCTGGGAAGGTGGCTCAGTGGTAGAGCGCTTGCCTTGCATGCCGGAGGCCCTGGGTTCGATTCCTCAGCACCACATAAGCAAAAAGAAAAAACCTGTAAGTGGCGCTGTGGCTCAAGTGGTAGAGCACTAGCCTTGAGCTGAAGAGCTGAGGGACAGTGCCCAGGCCCAGAGTTCAGGCCCCACGACCAGACCCAAAAAAAAAAAAAAAAAAAAATGTTAATTCTCCTCAATGAAGATACTACTTTTGAGTCTGTGTCTGTCACTTTGCCGACTCCTTGTCCACCTATCCAGAGATCCCTGTCCCGTTGGTCCCAGTGCGCTGAGCTGGTCCATCGCTCAAGTGCATCATGGGCACGAGGGGCTGGGCCCAGGTGATCTCACAGCAATCTGACTGAGCTCCCTGCATCCCGGACACCCCCACCTGCTCAAACAGGTCCTTGTTTATTTCTCCATTACATCCTGATCAGAGAAGAGCAAGCTTCACTTCCTGAACAAGAACCTGTGTGTGAACTCTACAGGCTTTAGGAAGAAGACTTGCGAGTTCTGAGGCTTTCCCCGGACAGTTTTTGTGGATAATCAGACAAAGTATTCACTTGTTCAGGAAGCATCCGTTCTGTATCCATGTGGACACAGATGTGTGCAGGAAGCAAGATAATCTCCACTTTGTGGGGGAAGGAAAGAGAGTCAGGAGGAGAAAAACTGTGGAAATGCGGGAATGTGTGACACTGTTCAAATGGAAATGTCCTCATCACCTGACTTCGGTAACTGTAACTCTCTGTACATGAGCTTTTCAATAACATTGTAAATATTAAAGAAAATTAATATCAAACTGTTCTGTAGTCCAGCAATTCCACTCCTGGGAATTTATCCAGAAGATTACAAACCAGGATGCGTTAGACGCATCAGGTTAAAGTATAGAACCAGCCCAGATGCACGTCCCCCTCAGTGTGTGTGTGTCTGTGTCTGTGTGGGTCTGTGTGTGGGGAGGGGAGGGGACATAAGTTCCCTTATGTGACCATTACATATTTGTTGACACAGAGCCTCCCTAGACCCAGCCATAGCCCTCCTGGGCACCGACCCTGACATCAGGAGCCAGGATATGAGGACAGCTGCCCGTCCATGTCCATTGACACGCTAATCACAATAGCCAAGATGTGGAAACCGCCCGGACGCCTAAATGAAGGAGGGGATCCAAAGCTGTGGTACCTACACACAAGGGCATTTTACACAGCCGTTAGGAAGAACAAAGTTGTCATCTGCAGGGACATGGATGGACCTAGAACAAACTGTGTGATGAGGTAAGCCAAGCTCAGAGAGACAAATGGCCCATATTCTACTGATATGTGGGAATTAGATCTAAACTACAGGGGGATGTGATAACTGACATGGGACATGATTGTCCATATGTGACCGTTCCATACTTGCTGACGAATGATATCCTCTAGACAGTCGAGGGCCAGGCATTTATTCCAGTCCATCTTGTCAACCTATGTTTTTCCCTCTCTTTCTAGAACTTCAAAGGTGAGCTGAGCACCAGTGGCTCATGCCTTGTAATGCTGGCTGCTCAGGAGGCTGAGACCTGAGGATCGTGGTTCAAAGCCAACCTGGGCAGGAAAGTCCTGTGAGACTCTTATGTCCAGTTGACCACTCAAAAACTGAAAGTGGCACTGTGGCTCAAAGGAGTCGAGAGCTAGCCTTGAGCAAAGAGAGCTCCAGAACAGCACCCAGGCCCTGAGTTCAAACCCACGACTGACTAAGAAGAAAAAATAGGAGAGAGAAACTCAAGCTTCTTTCTTTAGTAAACTTATATTTACTGTCTTTAAGTAGTACAAAGAAGAGACTCCTCAGCCAATCTGTTCATACGAACAATCCGCCTTGATCAAAGTGACCCTTACATCATTCTCCTCAGCCTCCCGACCCCTCCCCTCCCCTCATTTGTTTAGTTTCCTCAGAGATGCATTGATATCATGGCTGCTTCCTCACCCTTCCCCTTCCCCTCCAACACCTTTCCAGAGCTAGTGCCTGGTATTCATCTTGGGGTGTCAGCTAGTATTCTAAGGAATTACACCATTTGCATTGCAGACACCAGAGTCAGGTAACACATTTGTGTGCACTTGTACACAATCCCGTTTGTGTTCAGGGGCACATGTATGGATTAGATCGGGCTTCCACACAGGAGGGAGAACTTGCATCCTTGTCTCTATGGGCTGACTTACCTCACTTAAGCTAACTTTTGCCAGGCCTGTGCATTTCTTTGCGAATGAGGTAAAATCATTCTTTCTAGTAGATGAGTAATTCCATGGTGCTCCTATACCACTCCGTCCATTCGTCCATTGAGGGGCACCGGGGCTGTTCCGGGCCTTGGCTCAGTTCCTTGCTCTCTCTGCAGTGCTGGTCACTTCCCCTCTGCCTGCCTGGAGGCTGCTGAAGTCTAGCTTTGCTGGGAGTCGCTGCTGGTGTGCTGTCATTACGTCAGCACTAGAGGGCAGTGCAAGCCCGGATTTGTTCAGAATGAACCAGGAAGTCAACTAGAAATAGTAGTTTATCTTCTCAGGCCTGTGCCTGGGGCTGGGGGAGGTGCAGGTGTACAATACAACACACACCCACTTCTGCAGTTAATGGAGATGTTAGTGACATGGACTTTCCTACCCTGGATGACTTCAAACCATGATCCTCACATCTCAGCTTCCCAGGGAGCTGGGATTATAGTCATAAGTCACCAGTACCAGATGATTTTAATTCCTTTTTATTGGCACAGAGTTTGAAATATTCCTTAGTACAACTGTAGAGCAAGAGATCCAGAGCTTGTCAGGATATTTTTACATTTAAATTGGACATGAATGGTTTATGTTTTATTTTTATGTGTGCTTACTGAAATAAGTGCACATTTTGGGTATGTAGAACATCTAATATAAAGATATTTTGTTCCCCAATAGTTAGTACATGAAGTTTTTATATAAGTATATTGTAATTATTAAAGTGTTGTCCAGACCACTTACCATTTCCTAACTCGGGTAATGAGTAGATTCTTTTAGACAATGTCATGCAGTACATGAAGTTTTACCTGTGGATGGACTTTAAATGAGTGACAGAGATGGAATTCTAGGGTGTAGAGACAAAAGCTAACCAGCTGCCTTTTCTACTTTTTCACTGAAAAACTAAAATTGGGATTTCTACTTGCATGAACTCACAGACCAGTCCTTCACTTTTTCTACCTCACCTTACATTTGAGATAATTTTAATAGTTTTCCTCCTGCTCTTCTTCCCATCCTCACATCCTTTTAATGTTTCCTTCTGTTCTCTCTTCTTCTCCACCTCTGCTTCCTACTGCTCCTCCTTCTTCCTCTCTGTCTGCTTTCTTCCACATCACATTTCACAGGAATCCTGTCTACCTGAGTGAGATTCACTCTGCTTCCATGGATCTTCACATCACTATCAGAGTTAGCATCTCCTGTGAGGGCTCTGCCCCAGCCTCTTAGCTAATCAGCACCGATGTCCTGGCTGCTGTTCCCGGTGTCCCTGAGCAGCAGGACCCTGTGGATAACAGCAGAGTGGACAGAGCACAGGTGTGAGCCAGCATCCTGCTGAGCTGAGTGCCTTCCTACAGGAGCCTTGGCCATGTGAGTCTCCAGCTGTCACCGTCTTGTGAACAGAGGTCTGTCTTCCTCCCCATGGGCACCGTGCTGGGCCAGCAGCTGCCCAGACTCTGCCTTTGCCTTGAACCTCTACAGAATGAGGAGAACACCTTGGTGGGACACCAAGGAATCAGGTGGCTGCACTGGTTTCCTGAGCCCAGCGACAGTCCAGGCCTTTCAGACATTCCTGGTTCATTCTGTAGCACACACTTGTCCCAGGCTGAGACGTGTGTGCTCAGCCCACATGACAAAGGGCCTCCACCCACCATGTGAGCCCATGTGTGCCCAGTTCAGGACAGCTGCATGTCAGTCAGACATATCAGACACAACGACCCAGCAGGGTCCATGGTGCCACACAGACTCCACTATTCACCACTGCACACAGCCATCAGCCATGTCAGCCCACGAGATCCACAGGAAACCTTGGGACTCCAAAATCCAGCCTCAGCCCTGCTGGAAGTCCTTCCTGAGGTCAGCTGCATCTTCTCTCTGTGCTTGTCAGCTGGTGAAGGTGTCACTAAGGACAATAGGTTATGTTACACGGTGAGATGTTACCTCACTGACGACTGAAGATCAACCTCCATCAGTGATATGTCACCTGATAAAACTTCCAGGTTCAAACGTGAGATGTGATGTGAAAGAACTTTTAAGTTTCTCCATGTGTCTCTCAAATAAATATGAGTGAAACACGAGAATTTCCCAATTGCACCAAATACACAAACACATAGGTGGAGTGTTCAGTGTGTCTGCTGCCTGCTGGGGAACTTGGCACACGCTCCTTGGGCTTCATCTGGGGAGCTGGCCAGGGGTCTGCATGGAGCTTCCTTATGTGAGCCCTCTTACTTGAGTGAACGTGAAGCATTGCTGGTCAAGAGCTGCAGGACACGGAGGAGCCTCCCTGCCTGCCCTAGACACAGCCTCCTCCTCTGAGGACAAAATGAGCTCCATCTCTCTTGGCCTCTCCCCACCCTCTCCAGATTGAACCAGGTGCAGGGTCTTTGCCTTGCTGTCTGGGGACAGGGTCCTTCTTCCAGAGAGAGGCCCAGAGCCTCACTGCCTCTGAACCACAGCGTTGAACCAAAGCTGTGCTCAGAACGGTTCTGAGTGTCACTGGCCATCCCCATCCAGCAGACGTGGATGCTGCCCAACAGTGCACCAGACCTGCCCTCCTCAGACTCCCCTTCCTGAGCCATGAGGCCTGAGTGGAGGAGGTGGAGTCAGCACCAGGTGAGAGGAATGCAAATGCACCCGGGCCCTCCCACTCCTGGGTTGAAAAGACCAGCACTGAGCTTGGCTGAGGACGGCTGTGGACAGGACAGCATGGACAGGCTGTGCTCTACCCTCCTGCTGCTCACTCTCCCTTCCTGTGAGTGCTCTGCTCAGGGCCCTGGGGTGGGAAGTCTCCTGTGCTCCCCTGACCCTGCTTCACCTCCGCCTGGTGTTTCTCCACAGGGGCCCTGGCCCAGATTGCCCTGAAGGAGTCTGGCCCTGGGCTGCTGCCACCCTCCCAGACCCTCAGACTCACCTGCTCCATCTCGGGATTCTCTCTGAGCACTTATGGTGTGGGTGTGAGTTGGATCCGGCAGCCCCCAGGGAAGACCCTGGAGTGGCTGGCAAATGTGTGGTGGAATGATGATAAGTACTACAACCCAGCCCTGAAGAGCCGGCTCTCCATCTCCAAGGACAGCTCCAACAGCCAGGTGTTCCTCACACTGGACAGCGTGGACTCTGCAGACACAGCCACCTACTACTGTGCTAGAGACCACAGAGGCACAGCCACAGGGGCCTCCTGCACAAGATCTCAGGCTGGGCCTCAGCTCTGTGCTGGCCCCGAGCATCAGGAAGGTGCAGCTGCTGCTCTTTCCTGGCAGCCTCTGGGCTTTCCTCTTCCCCTCAGGGTCTCAGTTGGTTTCCTGTTTCTTCTCTAAGTTCACATCTCAGCTTCCTTGCCAAATGTTCATGAAGGGATCCTGGGCTCTGCTTTAAAAAGAAAAGTGAAGCCTCTGATCCTAGCTATTCTAGGGTCTGACATCTGAAGCTCATGTGGGAAGCCAGCCTGTGCAGGCAAGTCTGGGCTGCTAAATCTAATGATCCAAGGTGGCAGTAGTGAAGCTGTGGCTCAAGTGGTAGAGTGTTGCCTTCAGCAACAGTTTATGGGCTGGGTCCAGGCCCTGGGTTCCAACCCAGGACAGGCACAAAAAATGCAGCCTGCAGGCTTGTATCTGTCATGATAGAAGTTAGTTCTGGCTGACCCTGAACACAGAATTGTACATTAATGGAAGTGTGCCAGCACACTCACAACTAGAATTCACTGAATGTCCAGGGCTCAGGGACTGGTCAGGTAAACATGTCGGAACCAGGAAAACAAAGGTTTCAGGTGGAGTGTGCATGTAGCTGTCAAACACTGATGATGGAAATGTACACATTTGGCCAAGAAGAGAAAACATACAAAATTCACAACCCAGTAGTGTAAAGCACTGCAGATCACTGGGACACAGACACG